TCTATGAGATGGATTGATTCAGTGACTGGGGTAATCGGGATGGGTGTGTCAGAGGCAGTGCGGTTGGCGCAGGATAGAGCAGGGTTTAGGGTTGTTGTGCATAGGGTTGCTATGAGTTGGAAACAACTCGACGGCACATAACAACAACAATGTTAAGCATTATTTGATAAACAGTGCATATTATATACCATCTTCACATGTGTTGCAATTTCGATGTTACCAGTTATCTGTGTGAGAAGGATGTGCAAACTATGGGTTGGTTCTGAATCGATGGCACACAAAAATGAAGCAACATATAGGAGTGTTCTATTTTTTAGTTACACTGACAAATATTATAATGCAAATACATACTCTGATAACATACTACTCTCTTCCTAGTATTTACATGTAACTTTGTTTTAGTAAGTGTAAATTAAGATTTTTTAATGATGGCCTGTCCAAATGTTCACAACAGAAGCAGCCAAGTCAGAGCTTCTATTGTCTAACAGAGTATTTAGGCAATGTCAATCTTAGCACTCACCTGTATACTGATAAGTCACCTGTGAATATTTTTTGAAAAGGTGACTTTGAGAGCTGAATTTGTAAATCAGGTCATTGTGATGCAGAATATTGCACGTGCGATCTAATATGAGCTTGGTAAGGTTGAATGTTGCTTCTAGGTAGGAGTCAAAGATTCTGAAAGAGAGAATATCAGATAATATGTCAGCAGGTGGCATGGCTATGGGTGCAGAATTTCTTCTCTTTGTCACTGACCTCTCTGTTTGGACACTGCCCTGTTGACTAAAGGCACACTTCATAATAGAGTCCAGAGTCATCAAGGAAATGCATTCAGTGAGGTCCAGATGTGGATCCTGTGCAGTGAGCTTCTCCCATTCATCCTGGGGCAAAGGATAAGAAGATCGTGATTGTACACATGTCTGTTTGTGTCTGATGCCCAATCTCTTATGTTCCTTTCAGAGCTATTTTTTTTGGATTCAGAAACAAAAGGAAACTACACAAAATGAATTCACAGTATCATTACGAACTCTTACAATTAAAAAAAAAGATAAAACAAACATGAAAGAAAAAGATTTTAAAATCTATAAAAGTGATGAATAAACTTAGCGTTTTGATTCTAGACAATTTCTTAAAATATTTAACACTTGTCAAATGTTTGAGTCAGTGAAAATTTAAGGAGAAATAAAATATAGTTCCTTCCCTCTAAGTTAAAATTCTATCTCTTCTTTGCACTCAAAAAAAAAACAACAAACAAACCAAGACAGAAAACCTCTTTTCTACAGTATTATCTACCTCCAAGTGGTAACCCTTGACTATCTCCCAGGCTCCACCCAAGAGAATCTGATTTTGCTAAAACCTGTGTATTTATTGAGATCCAACTTGCTATTGTAAGGTAAATGTCTTTAGTATATTTAAAAACTGTTCCTACTGCATGATTAATCCCTCTGAAAACCAGCATGAGGGTCAGATTTGGCTTAGATCAGACGCCATGATATACAACAACAATCCCTTCTTATGTAAATTAATGAAATTAGAATGCTTTTTCCAATTGTATTACTAATCTCAGAAGTTCTGAAGGAATGTAGTTGTCATGGAGCCAAGAGGAAGGGAGATAAAGCAGGAGGAAGGTAATTGGAAAGGGTCTGGTTGAGTGCTGGCAAAGGCATTTCAAGGACAGTCAGTGGTTTCAGTGGGCCAAAGGAGGCATTACCATGGCACTAAAAACTCAACTAACTTCAGCAGGTTTTCAGAACCTGTAAATTGCACTAGAGATTGCTCTTCTTTCTCTTGGGGAGCAGCCAGTGGATTTGAACTGTGTGTCTTTGGGTTGACAATGTAATTCTCTACCCACTAGGCCACCAAATAGAGGATATCTGATATTGTAAGGAAAGCATAAAGGATGCTGATCCATAGTATGTTCTTGAGTTAGGAGGCTTGAGTTTGAAACCAGTTGTGGCCCTTGCTTGCCTCGTTACCTTGAACTCTAAATCTCTAAATTTTAATTCCCTTACTAGCAAAATGATGACATACCCCCGAAGTTTCATAATTGTGGGGTGTAATAAACTTGGCATCTAGTAAATGCTTAATAAGATAAATACTAACACTATGCCTGTAAATTTTGTCTTCATTTTTATTTTAGAATAGGAACTGGGCACAGTAACAGTGTAAGAAATGATAGAGGTACCATATGCTTGAAAGTACAGGGCTAGCCATGGTTGGTTTAAATGCAAATTTTGTTATGTACCAAAAAGTGTATTGGTTTGCTGACTCCATGTCGTCTCTGAAATCCTGTTTCATTAGCATAATTCTTGTGAAAATAATTATTGTGTATGAGTGGAACTGCCTGGCATGGGATGATGAGTGACCATTAAGATTCACCACTGTTATTTTCTCAGTGTTTTCACAGTCTAAACTGTGTCAGATCTCATGAAAACTGGAAGCTTCACTCTTCTTCAGTTCCTCATAGTATTTTCCTATGTCACTGAACTCAGCATACTGAAACGATGAGACATTTTTTCTCCTAGAAGGAAATGAACTTTGGTATCTTCTCTGGATCATCTAAAACATCTGTATTTTGATTCCACGAAACGTAGTCTTTGAGCTTTCATAATCATCCCATTCACACCTCTGAAACAGATCATGGATATGCTCAAGCCTGCCTGATATTCAGACTGACAGAGAATGGTAAGGAAAACCCTAACAAAGGAGATCAATCAGAACTGTTTTTGACAAAAGTATGTGACTGTAGCAATCGAAGATGCAAAAATCGCGCGACATTCATAAAGGCAGGCCACTCAGAGAAGGGGTTAAGGCGACCGGCTAGCTGAAAGCTGGGCAGCTTAGAGGCCACTCTCAGACCCTCCCATCTTCCCAGGTAATCGAAGATGCAAAAAACCACGCCATTCGTTCCTGCCCTCGGGCCAAGAAAAGCCTATCTACACACCAGTTGTACAGGGTGCATCACCTTTGCTCAGGAAACATTATGACTAAACTTCAGAGACATTGATCCCAACATAAGGAACTACCATCAGCTAATGTGTCTGGAATCACAGAAGCCATGGAAGGTTCATATATAAGTTATTAGATGGAGGGCTTGTGAAAGGGAGATAGATGTGAAGGGAGGGGGTAGAAGTGGATGGGTATCCTGGTGGATGGTG